ATTTTAATGTCCAGAAATTTAGTTCAATCTCATTTTAATATCCCCAAATTATCATTATTATTGTTATTGTTAGTATAGAAACACCTATTTAGACTTACCCTTGTCTTTACCAGTTTCTTTGCTCAGCATTGTTTTTTATATCTCCTTTCTTCTGGGTTCTCCTTCTTCCTGAAGTACATCCTTTAGAAATTCTTTCAGTGAGGGCCTGCTAATAATAAATCTAGTATTGACTTGTCTTAAAATGTCTTTATTTTATCTTACTTTACATAGAAATTATTTATTTCTAATATTAGGATACAAATAATAAAAAGGATGTAAATCAAATAGAAGCCCATAAAAACTGGACATAAATACTTTTTAACTTCTAGATTGCTCTAGATAGAAAGCAGTAGAGAGTTTTAATTATAGTAGAGAGTTTTAATTATAGTAGGTGATATATTATATGAAAGTTGAATATGGTAATGCTAAATTTAACAATATTTGTGTCCATCTTTTTGTTGTTATTAAATCACCTATATAACCCCATTTCAAAGTTCAGATAATATTCTATTATATAGATTCTTAAAGATTAAGACCTTACATTTGTAAGGAAATGAGATTGATTTCTCATGCTGATTTCTGTTATTGATAGTGCTCAGGTAATAAAATAGGGATGTCTCATATTTTAGGATGTGAAGTAATCTACAGTTTTTTATATCCTAGTATAAAATGTATAATCATCAAAAAGAAAGATATATAGAGATTAACACAATTGCAGAGCAATATCAGCAGAAAACATACCAGTGCCTTTCCAAGACGAGTAGGTATAGATTAGAGAAGAATAGAACAGCCAGAAACAGTCATCTTTTAGCATTACAAGTAAATAATGACACGAGTATAATTCCAATTTCTTGGCTTTCTTTTGTCTTTAGTACAAGTTCCTGTATAGTTGTACATAATCAATATATTGGAGCAGATTTCCCCTGGAGTAACTTCTCATTTGTGGTGGAATACAATTATGTGGAAAATTCTTGTTGGACTGAACATTGTGAGAAGTTGAATATTCCATACATAGCCTTTAAAGTGGTTCTTCCAGACACAGTTTTAAAAAGTAAGGATATAAACCAAAATCTTTTTGTTTGTTTTTTTGCTTCATTAGTATGAAAATTTTCTGTTTTCTATTTACAATCTATGGAAAGAAAATAAGCTCTGGCATTTATTAGAAGACTTGAGCTCAAGCCCTAATCCTACTACTATCTGTGTGACCTTGAACAGTCTTTTAACTGTCTCTTACCTCATATTCCTCATTTGTAAATTTTACTAATTATATGTCTTCATTCCTTTATCTAACTTCTAACTATTACTTAGTGTAGAACAACTTTATTACAATTATATTCATTCTTAATCTGCT